AGTCTTCTTCTTCTCAACTGCTTCCTGGGACTCGCATGTTCGCTTGTATTGGCAATAACGGACTTACCAAAATGCGATGAAATAAAATACAAATTGAGCGAAATATAATATTTTGAATTGTGTTTCACATTAATGTTCTTAAACTGTAGTAGAACATGTTACAAAACGTTCTTCCACTTGGTCTCTTTTTACTGTCCAGGACTACATGGGCACATGCCGAGATGCGGAGCTGCATTATTACGAGCAAATGTCTGAGCACTGTTTTCAACTTCTCGAACGGATTGCCAAAAATGAAGTCCGGCTCAGTCTGAACGAGGATCTGTTTGAGGTAAACGAAGTGTAGTTTAAAGCTGTCAATGCACAGGAAACCTAAAAAGGCTAGAATTTATTTGGCTATGACTATGTGTAGGAGTATTCGTCGAACGTACGCTTTGTCCGTCACCCGCTAAACATTTGTTTGATATGGTGTTACTTGCTACGTTTGAGTAACACTTATTTATGAAAGTTAGGAAAGTTCCGCCAAGTGTGGCGAATAGCTCACCCCACTTCGAACAGTGAGCCACTGTTCTAAGTCGTAGTTTAAAGGTGCTTCTTAAGTCTTCAGTGAAAAGCATCGAAACTTTTGGGGCTCTTTCTGTTCTTTAATATCCAGGTCATGCGTAAGTTTTATCACTTTATATCTTTGCAAAACCATTGCATGTTTCACCGAAAACTAACAGAACTTACGTAGCATACTTATATGCTATAGTTTTCCATGGCGTTTGAGAGGCTTCTTAGGATATTATATACGTACGTTAAACTTTTCAATGGCTCAATCTGCTGGTCGTTTGTACAGCAAATTGCTATCGCCATTTGAAAATGCCATTACCGGCAAAGGCAGCTGTTACGGCTGCCAGGATCTCTGGCGGGGCCCAACACAGAACGATACAGACGGGTTCCGTTAGCGGTCGGGCGAAAGATCATCAATAAGTGTAAATTGCCGTTTGATTTGGAGCCAAGATGCAACAATTCTCCCAATCTCTGTGAGTAACACTCATCGAGGTATGCATGTTCGTCGCTACGCGACAGGCGTAATGAGCTCTGGACCTCGAAACAGAAGGCTAACAGGCATTTCCAGTTACTAGTAAGGATTGGTGAATGAACTGCACCTTCAACCATTCAGTTACCCGCGGACACATTGGAGCCTCGAGCATTTCCAGTCTAATATAATTTTATGGTGTGTGTGAGTTCGACCACCGTAATCGGTGATGTCCACCATTTGCCCGAGAGC